GAGATTGGCTGTGTGCCCTGTCCCACACGTCCCCAGCTTCACTGGGTGCTGCAAACAGCTGTGGGAACCTGTTCTGATAGCTGAGGGGAACCTGCAGCTGCTTTGCCAGGTCAAGGTCCCTTCTCCAGGGGACTCTGCAAGATCATCCTCCTCACAAGTGATTTCTCCTCCTCTCACCCACGAATGGCAATGCCTCCTTCTCTTCATCACTGCCACGTGGCACAGGCACCACAGGGTTCAGTCAAAGCAGTTCTCCCTGCACCAAGGGCAGGCAGTGACAATCCCAGCCAGGCTCAGATCCATCCTGAGCCTGGACCACCCCAGTAGGGTGCTGCTCTGTGTGAGCCAGCTCTGGTGCTCCAGGATCTCCCCAGAGGACAGGGGACTCAGACACACCATGGTGTCTCTGCTCCAGACAAGCCACTGGGATGGAAAGAGTCAGAAGGTTCAAACCAGACCATACCCCTTTTGTTCCTTGTAACAGGGCTGCTGGTTTTAAGGGAGCCCTGACTGGAGGACCTGGGGAGGCTCTGTCCCCTCCCCAGTCCCAGGGCTCACAGGGTCAGGCTCTGCAGTCCCCAGGGGCTGCTGCAGCCTCCACATCCACCTGGGCACCCACCCAGTGGGCACTGTCACACCCAGGAGACTCCTGGCACTCCCTCATCCTCCTGGCACCCAGGGACAGGCAGCACCCACCACTGGGGCCACCCCACCGGCCCAGAGGGGTCCTGAGGGCTCCTCACTCTCCCAAGCAGGGCCCTGGGAGCCCCCCAAGGAACATCCTGCCCATCCCTGCAACACCCTGAGGTCCCAGACACTTGTCTCCTGGCCGTGCAGGGCAGGATCACGGGAAGGCACAGGCACCCGGGGCAGGGAATTTGGGAGAGGCAGGCAGCAAAGACCTTCTCATCCTTCCCCGGTCCCAGCTCAGCCAGGGAGGCAGCAGGATTGAGCCACTTTCTAGGAGTCAGACACGCTCCGGCAGGGAAGTGCAGCTTCCTCCACCTGCCCCGCAGCACAGGGCAGGGTGCTGAGCTCCCGCAGCACAGGGCAGGGTGCTGAGCTCCCTGCAGCACAGGGCAGGGTGCTGAGCTCCCGCAGGGTGCTGAGCTCCCGCAGCACAGGGCAGGGTGCTGAGCTCCCGCAGGGGGCTGGGCTGCCGGCGGACCGGG